TAATTAACCGTTAATTATCGGTTAATTAACCGGTTAATTAACCAAATCTTAATTAACCGTTAATTTCCCATCCCTAAGTGATACCCTTAAATCTGTAACTCTTTTTTTTTTTCATTTACGCAATTACGCTATGTCTACTTCAACTGATACTAGATCTACTTACTTCGAACGCCCACCTGAACAGTGGAGTATTATCGGTTACTACCATTTCCGTAAGGAGCAACCTAACTTTGATGTTTTTCGTAAAGAGAATGACTGGTTGAAAAAGGATCTAGAGGCAATTATTAACAGCAGTAGGAGTACTGATTTTCAACGTAAACGGGCTTCGAAATTGTGTTCGTCTTTACCGGTAAGCATATAAGAAGACATAAGTTGCCCACGACTAGGCAGGAAATACCTATTAGCTGTCCTGTTGACGACCTACTAGCTCGTCGTGTGCAACGTTAGGCTATATGAATATGTGTTCGTATAGTTATTTTTAACAAGGTTATGTAACCCACAACTAGGCAGGGCACCTACTAGCTGTCCTGTTGACGATCTACTAGCTCGTTGTGAGAAATTACATGCCTTGCCTTGGTGCCTAATAGCCACCAAGGAGTGCAAGATTGCTCGTTATAACCAGGATATTTGTAGATATCTGATCATGCAGTAATTGTTAACTTATTTTTTTCGTCAGAATCAAATGCGCGACAAAGAAATTGCCCACTTTTGGAAGGCCCAAGAAAATATAGAAACGATGAAAATGCGTGTAGAGATGGCACGGGTAAGTAAATATATGTTCATAATTTATAAATGTAGAAAATAACAAAATTTGTTTCTGTTATAAGATTGAGGGGATGTTACAATCTGTTAGGAAGACAACTGACGGAGTATTAACTGTAATCGAAACAACGAACGAATTACATCAACAAAATCTCTTATCCATGTTCCCGGACAATAAATCAACAGAGATACTAAAACGTAGGCATACACCATATGAATTCGACGATGATGATGACACCGACAAGGAGGACGACAAAGATCTTGCGAGTGCGATTGAGGAAGATAGTATCGAAAATGACTCAACGGAAGATGATCATCATCCAAAAGTCAATAAGGTAGCCTTTCGCGAAGCATATAATTTAATTCCAAATGATTCTAAGTTGCGATTGAGAACTGGAAAGATCGTGGAAGATGTTCTTTTCAATTACGTCAAGGATATGGATGATGAACAGTAAGTTTTGATAAACTTGATTCTTTTAACTTAATTTCTTTTCCTTATAACGTCATTCTCGATGTTATATATCATAGACTGCGAGGACACAAATATAAAATCCTTGTTCAGTGAAATGGAATGGGAAGAATTGACTGTAGATCGATTGGGTGTTCCTTCCATTCCGCAAGATATTGCAAAAGAGCTGGCCCGATATGGAAAAAAATCTTTAGGAGAGCTACGTAAGATTGTGACAACCCCGTATCTTCAAGATGGAGTTACTTACGACGTTCAACAACACTGTGATCTGGAATGGATCCAGTTGGCTGTGAGAGCCCTTGTAAATCTTTATGAAAATACGGACTCACCCTTGGTACGAAACCAATACGAGGATTGGTTTACTGTTGCTCTCTTCGGGGCTTGTATTGACACGTGTATGAGAAACGCACAACTCGGCACTGATGTAAATAGGTATTTTACCATTCTTCCATCGGTGCAGACAATAAATTATTATCACCGGAAATCTTCTAATATAGCTTGTTTATTATTATTCATAGAACCGATGCGCCATCATTATCCAGTGCTAACAGGAAGAATCGTGCTCAACCCAATAGTGCAAGAAAATTAATTGGTCGAAAGATTGATGGCATTGTTTACGTGGTTAACAGGCTTCTTGAAGTGGGAGCGATCGAGGCGGCGAGGTCATTCTTCGGAGAATTTGATCGGAAATGCCTTATTGAAAATTTTAAAATGCCGAAAACTCTGCATGATATGCTGGCCGAGCATATCAGAGCTGTTGACTATGATGATAAAAAAATAAAGAAACTTCAAGTGTTCGGTATATTGCATCTTGGACTGAGAGTCCAATTTACAAGGTTGTGGTGTGCCGGTGGGTCAGTTACAATTTTCCGTAAAGATCCCCAATTGTACTACTTAGATAAAAAGTTCTCGGTAGAAGGAATTAAAACCTTCCTTAAATTTCTAGCCTCAATATATCAACGCAAGGTGAAAATCTTATTCTTGCATGCTCCAATAATTAGATAGCTTTCCTAATCGCTCAATCTTCATTTACACAGGTCATCATTAGGAATAATTTAAACGTACTGAATAACAGTGATAATGATGTTCTTGAGTCGAATGAAGATGATTTATATAACGAGTTAATAGAAATTGGCCGACCATCCACACCTCCACCATCTTCACAATCAGTTAGATATTTTGCTGATTGTTGGAAGACCCCAAGGAAAGTTAAGCCAAAGAAAAAGAGGAAGTTGGAATAAAGAGATATTCGACAATATCGTCAATATCGTTTGTTTTAAAAAATGTTACTAGTTGAGCTGTAAACATTAATATAAATGAAAGTGAGAAGGTTTAAATTGCGTATGACAAAAATGGGAGGATTATAAATTTTTTATGTTAATGTATGTTTATGTAATTCGCCTTATAAAAAAAAATAACTTTATAAATGTCAAAAAAAATGATACACGTATGACTGAATTTAATCCATGAAGTTACGGAAAACCGATATCGCATTACAGTAAAGTTTTAGGTTTACTCAATAAGACCTAATTCCCGAAGATGCTCTGGAATAACTATATATGGGTCTTCATAATACCAAACATACTTTAAGGCAAGCCGGTTTTCTTTGCATAATTCTTTCTTGAGTTGATCCCGTGCTTGCTGTTTGATAAAGTTATTGGGATCGCCTCTATGAAAGAACTTGT